GGTTAAAAGTTTTGAAAAGTAGATCCGACTTCAAGGTCAAGATTTCAAATTTCATGGTATAATTCGAAAGTTCTTGTCAGGGGTATTTTTAAATTTAAATGTGAAATTCCTCTTTCTTTTCATTTGAAAGTTGGGCCAATTGAAAGTTATGTTTATTATTTTAAAAGGTAGGTCAAACTTTAAGGTCAATTAAGGTCACGGGGTCAAAAACCATAGTGTATTTAGTCACAGGTAATACACATATTTATTTAATATAAAAGCTCTCTGTCTTCTCATTCAGAAGAAATAACCAAGGTTCAATTTTTCGTGATGGACGGAAAGACTGACAGACGAACAGACGAATGAGATTTAATGCACCCCTCGCTTTCGCGAATGCAGGGGACAAAAACTTTAATATTAGATGTAAAGAACATACTTTTACTCACTCTCTCATTCACCATGCCCTGCGTTGTGAAATCTCCCAAAACGGACTCCTTGAGCATTTCCGGTGACGAATTAACACGGTCTTTCACATATTTGTGAAGATAAGCAAGAGATGATATGAAAATTCCTAGTCCCAAAACCAGCAGAAATCCGAGTATGGACTCAAAAACACAGTATTTGGTACTCAACTTGCAGGATTCTCTTCTCCTTAGGTTCCGAAAACTGTCCATTTTCTTTTTCAATTTGAAACACAATCTTAAACGACTTTTCTTTAAGATGCACTTATAAACAAACAAGAGTGTATATATGTAAGTGCATGTAAAACACCTAATTGATATTCATCTCTGAAGTACGATATTGGGAAAATCTCTAGTCAGAATTTCCTTTTTATGCCCCCGTAAACGAAGTTTTGGGGGTATTTAGATTTTGTGGTGTCCGTCCGTCTGTCTGTCTGTCTAGCTGTCTGTCTGTTTGTCTGCAAAACTTTAACATTTCCCATAACTTACTCGGGTTGTGTATTTTCTCTGCGACATTCATTCCAGTACTAACAAAGAAAGCATTTTATTGTTTAAATAACATCAAGAAAAGTTAAGCATGAATTCAATTAACTTGTCATGTTACTAATCATACATGTACATATTCACGTTTGATATTGTCATAATTTTAGACTATAAATGGTATCTGTTTTTGCCTTTACTATACAATTCTAATAGATTAATAAGAATGATAAGTCCTACGACAATCTGTATACGTAATAAATCTCCACATGCCCATCTGCTAAAAAAGTGCCATGGGACATTTAATACAATAAATACTAATAAACCTAGAGTCGAGCTCGTTGTAAAGCAACGAGTAAGTCTTCCGCTGGAACTGCGATTAGGACAAAGTGACCTTGAGTCAAGGTCATGCCATATGCTACGGATGCAAGTAGTCTTTTCAGGCGTAGTTGTTTGCAATTTTTCAGCAGTAGAAAGACAGCAAAGGAATGTACATCTCTTCTGATAGGGACTTTGAACTTGTACTAATAACCCTCCGTCAAGCTATGACACACTCTGCAACTGGTTATAAACAAACCCCATCTGAATGTTACCGACTCGAGGAATTCACATATATTCTTTTCATCTAAAAAATCTTACCCTTGTGATCTTGAGGCAAGGCCATGAGCCATGAAATAGAACGATGATCCATTCGTATAAAAAATTATATTATAATATTAGAAAATGATCCTTTTTGTCCTCTTAAGTGTGTGAATTCTATTTCAAAGGGAGAAAATCCAATCTCTTTAATGCCAACTGCGTGGTGCAATGGTTAGATCGTTAGAACGACTGAAGAGTCACAAAGTAAGGAGAGGATTGAGGGTTCGAATACAAATACTGAGAACGTTTAATCCGAGAGCCCGAGTAGAAGTAGGAGTTAGCGCGATAAAGGTCCCTCATTGCTCAATGGCCATGAAATGATGAATACCGAATATAGGACAAAATTTGCAGCATACCATGGACAAGTGGTGCCTTCTCCATATGAATGAAAGCCACTTGAAATAGACGTTATACAATAGACAACAAATCCTTTTTTATAAGGTTTTGGAAAATTGTGGAGTTCTGACATCAAATATACGTCAATGTTACAAGAAAATTTTCACCTACAAGTTCGGTGCGCTGTAAGGCATGTGGCCTTGTTCACACATTTTCTCTATATCATTACCAAAATACAGATAGTTATACATAAAACAATATTCTAAATTTTTTACACCTATTTGAATTCTCATCTTGAAGAAAAGGGGGGAGAGAGTATTGAGTACAAAAAAATGTCTGACTTCAGTTTGTCTGATATTGCGGAAATAATTTCCTGTAGTTGCCCATGTATGACCGAACAGCAACAAACAGTGGGGATGGAGCATGTAATATTCAAATGAAAATTTACATATTAAAACTACAACTGAAGACTGTTCTCAGAAAAAAATCCTTCGTACTTTTATGAGATTGTAACACAGACACTGGTTTCGGGAATAAATTTTAATCCATAGTATAATAATATAACACAAGGTATCTAACTCCAAATTACACGGAGTACCTCCCTTCCTTAGAATCGCGCTCATTTACACTTTCAGAGAAAAGGCAGTGGTACACTGTTTATACCTATGTTATCTGCGATAATTTATCTACACAACCATACATGGCTTGGTTGTCTTTGTTTTCTTTAATCTCCGTAAACAGCATCAAAACTCTACTCGCCGAGTGGAAAAGTCAAACTAAACCATAGAACGGTATGTGCTAATCTCGGGCAAAGAGAAAAAGTAAACAATGCGTGGGTTAAAAACTTCAATTCCAGATTTTAAATATTGCATTGAATAAATAATATCTCAAAGTGTCTTATTTTCTATAAAAATACTACAATGTTTTTTCGATGTAATTTTAGAAACAGATTTTTAGCCAATCAAATTTGATGTCTAATTGTTTGCCCGATACTAGAACATACCATTCTATGGTTGAGTTTCACTTTCCACTCGGCGAGCAGGGTTTTGAAGCTGATTACGGAGATAAAAGAAAATAAAGACAAGCATGTCAGATATGGTTGTGTAGATAAATTATCGTAGAAGACATAGGTTTAAACACTTTACTCGTGCATTTCCTCTTAAAGTGTAAATGAGCGCGGTTCTAAGGGAGGGGGTACTCGGTATAAATCGGAGTTAGATACCTTGTGTTATTATTATACTATGGGTAAAAATTTCATTACAGAAACAAGTGCCTGTGGATTGTAATCTGCCTTTTATCGATGCCTACCCACCTCCCAAAAGAAATCTATACACTCGTATAGTTAAAACTTATTAATTTTCTCAACGTTTTTTTTTCTAGCTTCAAATTTACACGCCATGTTTACAATCGGAAATATCTGGATTGTTCGTAGTTCACTGAGTTCAAGTTATGGTACGTGTACATTATGCTACATTGCTAATACTCTATGTATACTATAAACACGGGCTTCATTTTTAGCGGCTTTGGCACAGACAACAATGCGATAATTCATGAATACCGCTAAAAATCATTTACATATACAATACACTTAACGGACATGTGTAGCTCTAATCTATGATTACGCCAACAACACCTTACCCAGTGATTACGCAGAATTTTGAAAGACCAAATTATGTAATCGTACGGTTCAGTGCAGTGACGTACAAATAAACAACAATCAAGGACCTATCTACTAGTGTTCAGGTACCCGAAAATGTGGCTTTTCTCGTAAAATAGAGGCATACATTTTATATACACAAATAGATCTAGATCTATTATATGCAAAACTAACACAGATCTCTGAAAACAGTGATGTGAACATCCACTGCTGACTGGTCATAGCCGAGATTTTCTCTTTGGCATGCTCGGGTATTCGGAAATTGTCAATAATCTGGTTTTAGTTGTTTTTCATTTGAGCGTATAGGTAGAATATATAAATATGCAATAAATTGGGAGACCTAATTTCCTAAAAAAGGTGATGAATTTAGGAAAAGAGGAATATTCTGTTACCATAGGGTTTCTTCTGACGCTGTTACAAATATTAACTGTCAAATCATTGTATCAAGGACTATTAACCGCATATTATTTTCTTCACAAACAAATTTTATTTTGTTACATATAGTCTTAACTGAATTCAGCTAAATTAAGATGTGTTTTCTAAATATTTGACTTTCCTCTGATTAAGCAGAGCTAGGTAGATTGAAGTTTTTCATTGGATGTTGTTTATTTTGATACTTTGATAATTTCCTACCATGGCTGTTAGTTTTAAATCAGATTATTCAGACCAATAGTTTTTGATCGAAAAATGGCAGGCTAAACCTGCTGGAAATTATGAAAGATTGAATAAATTGAAGTAGCCTTACACAAATTGCATCGTATTTCTCTTTCCAGAGCTCATGCAAAGCTAGAAAGCTAGCATTTGTATAATTAGGTCAAATATAGCCGTGAAAAGTATAAATGGAAACAATACCGATTTCAAATAAAAAATGAAACAGTAAATCGTTAGATGATTATGATTGTTATTTGTTTTCTTTTGAAATAGGTCAGGGGATGCTTTCTCCTCCATGGTATTTGATCCCTCTTCAGAGGTATGCATTCTGTGTATGCTTTGCTCCTGCTCTGTGTCGTTTGAAAAGACCTTTAAGCATTGTATAACTTGTAATTATTTTAAAATCTCATTGGTTTTATTATCACAAATAATATTTTACTGTTTTGACTTTCTAAAGTAGGTACTTCCTGACCAGAACAAAAAATACACTTTTAGGGAAAAGCAGGGATAGGGATTGTTTCATGTTTATTGGGTATGAATAATAAGCTCTAAATATACGATATGTATTCAAAATCTTTCAGATCTTGTGTTTAGCTCGTGCTGTGGAGATATTTTTTTATTGTTGCTGAATTTTTGTTCATTAATGTTTTTTTTATTTTAAATATAATTATAGATCAGTATGAGAAAAAGAAGATTGATGTACATTATTCATATTTTATTAGTAATGTACATGATATATTCTGTCAATTAAATACAAGGATAACATAGTTAATGTATGTTTCATTTTTATACTCTTTTCCAAAGTGATAATTTAAAAAGATAGTCATAAGATGAATGGAAGGAAAATCAATTATAAATTATTGTTGTTAAAGTCAGATGCTCCAAGTTTTTTTTTCCAGAAGAGAATACCATTCTCTTTATGATGAGTGTGGTTTCTGGGACCTTGGAGTTTATTTCACAGGACAAACCACCGACTGTGCTTCAGAAACTGGAACTGCAAGTACGGATAAATAAGATATTAATGTTCTTATGAGAAAAAGAATAAGGATGTGTTGCCCCGACATTTTACACAACCTGCATATTTCATTCAAGTTAAAACTTCGTTGTTAGAGAAAAAATATTTGTATACAGATATGACCTCATGGTTACATACGTTTGATGTGTTATTTGTATCTGTCCCCTGAAGTGTAATATTCCGTGAATTTTTTTTTCACAAGAATGATTGATAATCTACAAAAAAATGTATCAAGTTCCTATGTTTCAACAGAGGCAATTTCTTAAATCAAACCGATGAGTGAAGATGTCTCACCCGCTTCTGTTGTCAAAATAAATTTTATTTCTTTTTTAACTGGACCACAACTTCCACACCATCCGCCACACCGGAAGGAAATTTCCGCTCCGTCTGTTGAATTCTGAAAATCCAGTACACTAGTTGCATAGCTGTTTTTCAGTCTACCGAATATAATCTGAAAATAGATTTAGTTTTGTTCTTATGATAATGACACATCTCTGTAAAAAACGGGGTTATAAATTGACTTGTGTATTCCAACGCAGGTCTTTCTGTCTTTTAATCCTTCCGCCTATATGTTCGTAACTATTGAGGGATCAAATTCTTATATGAAAATTCCTTAAAATAAGATTTTTAAAAAATCATGAAATTTTCGCGCAATTTTAATTACGTGGTGCCCTGATTGTGCAACCTATTCTCTGTGTTTCTATCGGACAGATATATTGGTGCCCTGTTGCAAAACATGTATGCATTGACAATGCCATTCGTCAACATTTCTTATTCTCAACGACAATTTTCCACTTAATATTTTTAAAAATATTTATTTTCCTCATATTGGTCGAAGTAACAAAACAAAAGTTAATGTAAAATCTTTTTAAAACTAAGTATCATTCATTAATACACATTTTACACATTTTTTTTTCAATTGATATTTGAGCTGGAATTCTTTCATTATCTTCATATTATCACTCTAAGAATAATTTTCAAAATTTTCAAGGACATATGACTTTATTTTTTTTAAAACAAAACTTACAGTAGGATCAACTATCATCCCTGTTCCTCGAGTATTGATTTTTGCTCCGGAAAATCGAGGACAGGTTTTTCTGACAAAGTTTATTTCTCCAGCACAGTCACTTGTTTGTCCAAAAGAAAGACTGAAATTCCCTGTACGCACTGCAAACGTATAATCTGTTCCATTCACAGACATATCCTATAAGTATAAAAATATGCAGAAAGACAAATGTTCCACGAGAAATATCACTTTATAAAAATATAAAATGCAGAGAGATTGGCATATATTACAATACAGAGCTGGCAAAGATTATTCATCTTATAAATCATGTGTAAATGAATTTTCATTAACGACAACTCCATTGTATGAAAAATGAAATTACACATTTATTTGTGACCCAGTTAATCATAATAAAATACCAGTTTAACTTAAAAAAGAAAGACAAATAAAAGCCAAACCCTTTTTTAAGTATCAATTAAATAATTATTATTCCTGTATCAACTTATGTTCTTATTCGTTTCCACTCAAACGAACATAAGTATCTATAAAATGAATAACAACACTTATACAGGTAGGTATAGAAGCGCTCTCGTAAGTGCAGTTTAATATTATATACGGAATGTACATTTCCAACTTTCCCTCTTGAAAACTCATCCAATATACAAAACAAAAGCATATAATTAATAAAAACAAAGATGATACTCGTGAGGATGTGTGGGTGCTTCCAGTAGCTAGCAAGATCCTCTGTAGAGTAATACTGAACAGGATGAAAGATGCGGTGGATAACGTTTTACGGGATGAACAGGCAGGCTTTAGATCCAACAGAAGTTGTACTGACCAAATTGCAGTACATGTACTAAGAATTATCGTTGAGCAATCTGTTGAATGGCAATCATCTCTGTATATAAATTTTATCGACTTTGAAAAGGCATATGAAAGTGTCAACAGAGATGGAATGTGGCAACTGCTAAGATACTATGGAATACCATCTAAAATAGGGACTATTATTAAGACCGTATATGAAGAATTCTCAGTGCAAGTGATACATGAAAGATCCCTCATTCCTTACAAGTCAAAACAGGAGTGAAGCAAGGTTGCTTACTCTCTGCCACTCTGTTCCTTATAGTGATAGACTGGATCACAAAACAGGCATTCGACAGGCCTAGGGGAATACAATGGACAATGGTCAGAAGATTGGAAGACCTGGATTTTGTCGATGACCTTGCCTTACTGTCCCAAATAAAAGACATCAGAAAAAAGACCAACAAGCTAAATGAAACTGGAAAGAAGATAGGACTAAACATTAACAGCAAGAAAACGAAAGTTATACCAAAGTCAAGACTAGAAAAATTTGACCAATCACAATTGAAGGGGAAGAACTGAAGGAAGTGGAACAATTTACTTACTTAGGGTCCATCAGTAGTAATACAGGTGGTTCAGACGAAGACATTAAAGCCAGAATAAGCAAAGCCCGACATGCCTTCGCAATGCTCAAACCTGTCTGGAGTTCCAGTACATTAAGTGAAAGCGCAAAGATTAGAATATTTAATACCAATGTTAAATTAGTGCTTTTCTACGGATGTGAAACCTGGAGACTAACAGTCAGGACTACAACAAAATATCCAGGTATTTACAAACAAATGCCTACAACACATCTGTAAAGTGACATGGTCAATTAAGATACCAAATAAACACCTACTGGAGCGTACCAGTCAAGAATCAACATCCCTCCAGATTAAGAAACGAGCATGGCAGTGGATTGGTCATACATGGAGAAAGCCCCAAAACAGCATTATTAGAGAGAGACATTAGACTGGGATCCACAAGCTCAGAGAAAACAAGAGTGACCATTACAAAGTTGGAGGAGAACAAGATTGAAAGGGCTTGAAAACATTGGAAAGACCTAGAATGAAACAAATGGAACAGCCCAAACAGAGTAAGGTGGAGAGCGACTGTAGTGGCCAAATGCTCCAGAAGGAACGATGAGGATTAAGTAAGTAAGTACGTTCTATCTGTCAAACCGAATATTTTACAATAGGCCTACGTATTTTGTCTCTTAAAAAAGTCTAATATATTGTTTTAGAGGGTTCATCATTCAACGATATTAGACAGATCCTTTCTCATTTTAAGTGTTATCCGAATTGTACAAAAACAGAGCAGACCTCGAATACCTGCGTAACAATTTAACCAAAGAACATAAAGTATAATTCGATAATGAGGGTCAAATACGCACATCAAAATTGTCCAAAATTCAGTAGCTTCCGGGGGTTTATCCCCTCGAACCCCATTGAGATCCGTAGTCCACGCCAAACCCCTGTCTAAACTCAGACACCCACGGAAAAGTACCCTGCCTACGCCCCTGGGGCCCGCCAAAATTAAGTCGGGCGTAATTTG